TTTTGGTTCCATTCTTATTTTGAGTTGGATTAAAGAGAAGATAATACAGAAGGTATGTGTTCTGATTGTACAAGACAAATTAAAAATTCTTAAAAGAAAAATCACTACAAATTATTTGTTCAGGAAAATTTAACGATAACAATGTACTTATTTTTTATTTAAAAAAGTAAGTATTTATATTGCCGACTGTGACTACTTTTCTTTTCCAAAATAAAATTATTTTTTTCTCTATCCTTAATCGAAAGCGTGGCGATGATTCAAGTGGTTAGAATCAATGTCACGCCTCACTTCAGCTCACATCTGAACCTGCAGAGTATGATAGCGAGGATCCTTAATATGACGATACTCTTTATGGTAATGTGGTTCCATCATACTGAAGCTCCATAATACCTGGCTGGCTCATGTGCCCAATGGCATTAGTTCTGGTTGACAGAACACGATGATCTAGTTGCTATTTAGGATCGGTTTCCGCACTATTGTGTTCGTTATTCAAACGTAATTATATCTCAATACCTACAATAGATGGCTCTGTTTGTGATTAGTAACAAAATGGTAAAAGTATTTTTTTTTATGTTTTCCACAGATGTTAGAGTTGTTTTTGAATTTGGAATATCATTATCTTATAAGAAAATAAGCAATAATGTTTCGCGCTTATAAGTTTTATTATGAGTGACGTTGTGAACCATATTGCCGTTTAATTTTCTTATACCTTAAAAATAATGTTGGTCCAAACGATCTCTATAACACGCACTTTATAACCAAGTTTAACTGTCAATCCGTACTCTTTTAAGGTCCATCTTTATTATATTTTAATACCTGTGACGGGCTAGCTTTTTTTAAACTATAACTGATGTCAGGTAGCGATTTAAACTTCAACTTTTTTGGGTATAAGTTGGCAAAGTGAGTTATATGTACGGACAGCTTACATAATACAGGTAACAGAGCTGAGATCTGACAACAGTGCAACAGGTGTTGCGCAGTGACACAGAACCGGAGCGTTGTGACGTCACGCGTAGAAAGGTACCTACGCTCGGCGCGTGCGCACCCAGTCGGATGTAGTGGTAGGGTTGCCAGGTTACTTCGAGAGCTTTTTGTTGGTAAATAAAAATGGAAGGGTGGAATTGAAGTTTTGATTGGCTGGAATTTTATTTTGTATTTCATTCCCTTTAGAAACAACTCTGTGTGATCTATTTAGTGGTTAGGGTCTGGGTGAGGCGTCTTAGTATGCTTGTATAGGCATTTGTAAAAATACCTTCCACACGCGAAAAAATCTTAGAATGGGATAACGCTTTAAAAAGTAAACAACAAGATGTGATTAACTTTAGGATTTTAAAATTGGATTCAGATTGTATTAATCAATTCTTATTTTAAATATAATATCTGGTTTATTCACAATCACTTTGTAGTAACACTTAGATCTAGCTCTATCATTTGTCCCACACTAAAACAATGGCTTAATTAGTTTCATCTGCGCTGCGTTGCTAATTGATGAATGGTGACCAATCAATCAAAATGTAATCAATAAGATTGGAATATTATCAATTAATCATACTAGATATCAAAATCGTGTCACCCTCCCATACAATGTAGTAGGTTATTGTAATTAACAGTTAATTTAATTAATTGTACATAATATGGTCCCGTTTTATATACATAACTACTTCGAACTAAAACCTACTTTTAAAACCTCGAAATGGAAAATAGTCCGTCAGTCTGTTCGTCAGTCAAAAAATTATTAAAATATCTTTTTAATACCTATTAAAAAGTCAAAATAATTCAATGTTGACATGAAAGTAATCAATTTAGTAAATAATAAAAATCTGCCTGAATATTGCGGTAGCTTCTAAATTATTAGATGAACACTAAAGGAATGACTGCACGGTTGGGCGGTCGCGGGTTCGATTCCCGCACGGAACAACTCTTTATGCGATCTACAGATTGTTGTTCCGTGCCTGGGTGTGATGTGCATGTGAAAAAGTGCTTTTTTTAAACGCATCCACGACACAGGAGAAAATCCTAGTGTGGAGAAAAGTTTTTTTTTAGAAAAAAAAATGTTTTTGTACGTAATAACCAACTTCTTCAATCACTTTAACTATTAAAAAAAACACGTCACCAAAATCCGTTGCGTAATTTTGAAGATTAAGCATACATAGAGATATTGGGACAGAAAAAGCGACTTTGTTTTATAAGTACTATGTTTTATAGTGATTGTAGCGGCACTATCACGTCGCTACATTACTTAGATACGATAGAGATAAGACACACATGTTAATTGTTGCACGTTTGTTAAGATAGCTAAATCTGAAAATCTCACGCATCTTCTTAGTATATAAGCACCAGCAATTAAAGTAATAAACAGACCTTAACCATCTACAGTCTCATTATTTACCTTGCCACGAAGTCTGGCAAAGTGATAAAATTCTAAATAGACATTGTAAACAGTGTGCTATCTCTAGTATATTAAGGTATTAAGATGACTGTTACCAACTAGGAAACCAATCACGGATCATTAGTAGTTGCTAGTTAGTTTACCGTAATTCGATTCCGCGGATGGTAGAAAGTGTGTCGTCTCTTAGCGCTAATATTTGGTTAATGAGAAAACGAGATCAAGAGACGATTTCTAGATATTTTGAATGTCAGCAAATATAATTAGGTATTCGTTTCAAATTCCATAGCAACTGTCTTTTTGCTAACCGAGTTAAAACTTTGGAAGTTCTGTTTGAATGGTTACAACACATCTACTCAGAATGAACTTAGGCAATATTGAAAATGAACGAAATATTTTGGTTTTCTCGAAAGTATGTGGTCGGAATAAACTTGGCAAAGAGTCGCCCTATTAAATAAATGATTTGAACATTTACTCACTAGGTTATAATATCTTCTAGGAATAAAAAGTATACGTAATGTTTTGTATTAAGTAGGCACCTACCCATAACTTTATGCTTTTAAGACCTATTACCTATTATAGTGTCCGACCGAAACTGGTTTCCCGGCCGAAACCGAAACCGAATGTTCGGCCGTGGCTTCAGTTTCGGCCGAAACCGAAACCGACACTAACATGGTGGTACCTATAAATATCTTAAAATACTGAAATTTGGTGTATTATACCTATTATTTTGCCTTAATTAGGGCATGAAAGGGAAACACGTTATATTAGGTTTGTTGTAATCATTTATCTATACTTATAATAAATCTGTACAAAGGTCAATTCTGTACGTTAAATATACTTTCAAAATAACTACCAGGGGATGATAAGTGATTGATACTGATACCAAAAATGCAATCAGTAAAATGTTTGTCTGTCTGTACGTTCCTTATAATAGGAGCAGAGCAGTGAAGGGAAATATTGAGAAAATGGGAGAAGTTACTCCCTTTTGTAAGTTTCCGTCGCTTGTGTGTAACCACGCCTTAATGGTTAAAGTTACATAGAAATTATGTATGACGAAAATATTTAACATAAAATTTAAAAAAATATCTAAAAAAAATGTTATACAGCATATATCTATATTTTATGGTTAACTCACAATAGCACGTGTAACTCCTAATAGCAGTTCTGATAATAAGCCATCGCGCCGTCGCATGTGAACACTGAATCATGCTATAAGGACTATTTTTGTGTAACGGTTGCCGCGCTCCACGCGACGCGGTGTAAAATATAATATAATAGGTTTTGTGAAATTTTTGTAATAGGTACTTACGTCTTGGTTAGATCCGTACCATTCTATCTATGTAATTTACCCATAAAAATGAGACGATTAATAAAAAAAAATATGTATACTTCGATTTTGTTCTATTGCTATAGGCTGCTTTTTATTAAAACACCACGCGGGCGAAGACGCTGGCGAAAGCTAGTTTAAATAAAAATAAAAATAGGTATACTTAACAATTTTATTATTTTTTCAAATTAAGTTCTCGGTCAAATCAGTCATCTTAATCAAATCAGTAATTGACACTGTTGCATTAAATACTAAGTATTGGCATTTTGAGATCTTTCCCTTTAATAATTTGGATTTTATTTGTACTTAGAAGAATAATCAATCTCTTTTAGGTACCTCTTATGCAAAAATAATAATTACTATCACACCCAGTTCCAGTCTCAACATAGATAATCAAAAATCACATATTTAGAATTAACAAAGTTACCTAGATCACAATTAGTAGGACAGTTATACATCTTGGACAATTTAGTAGGACAGTTATGCTTGCGTGAACTTGCCAAATAAGTTTCGGTTTCGGCAAAAGTTTCGGCCGATTTTGGCCGAAACCGAAACTGCGGCCGAAACTTGATTTTTAGCCGAAACTCGGCCGAAACCGAAACCGAAATCGAAATTTCGGTCGGACACTACCTATTATACATAATTATAGGTACATACCTTTCTCGTCAATCATTCTATCTAATAAAAAAAATACTGCATCAAAATCCGTTGCGTAGTTTTAAACATTTAAGCATAAGCTTACATAGGGATATAGGGACAGAGAAAGCGACTTTGATTTTTATTTAATACATAGTGAAAAGAAAGCTATGGTTACAGGCATAAGTAACATTGCCGGGGTTGCGGTACAAGCGCAAGGCCGAGAGCAAGAGAAGGAACGGGGGGCTTCAGTCAGTCTGGCACTTTCCTCCCTTCCCTTCCACTCCAATATGTGCGGAAGAAGTCATTTGATGATTTTCTCCTCAAAAAATGCCATAGGTAATATTAAAAGCATAAAGTTATGCTAAGCTGTAGCAACCAGCCCTGATCATGTGATGTACGGGATTGGTCGAATGTGTCGATTCCCATGGCACACCATTGTTATATTGTTTGCGTATAGTTTTCAAATTACCTGCACTTTTTATAGTGACTGTCAGACTGTCATTGTCATTTATCATTCCATTTCTGTGTAAACACGACCTACATATCATGTGGGGATCAAAATACTAGGTATAAACACTAAACAGTGTGGCAATTTTAAGTGTGGGAGAGCCATACTAAGTTTGGGAGAGCCATGCTTCGGCACGAATGGGTCGGCTCGACCGGAGTGATACCACGGCCTCACAGAAAAGCGGCGTGAAACAACCACAGCATGTTTCGCCGTGTGAGTGAGGTTACCGGAGGCCCAATCCTTCCCCTCCCCAAATCCCTCCTCAATCCCTGAATCTCCAAATTCCTAATCCCTAAAAGATCGGCAACGCATTCGTAACTCCTCCGTTGCGGGTGTCCATGCGCGGTGCTGATTGCTTATCATCAGGTAATCCGTATGCTCGTTTGCCGATCGTTCAAATAAAAAAAAATACAAATCGCAACAGCTAATTGATCATGTTTAAAAATATTTTAAAATTTCCATAGGTAGATATTAGGCTCTAGACAGACGGACTGCAATTCAATTGCAATTTCAGTCCGTCTTTCGCCTTAGTGTTATGAAAAAAGTTGTTTTATTTGAGCACTAGACAAAATGCCAACCTGTATACCTACTGTACCTAAATTTAATTCAATTATCTAATTTCTCTCGTCGGAATCCTTATACAACTCACCTACCAAACAAGGTGTATTTTTTCAATTTGTTTGCAAACCAAATACCTATTTGCACCAAACAAAACACGAAAATAAAACACATGTACCTAACTATATGTGTTTTTTTTCATTGCTTAGTGTTTCAGGTACTTTATTGTAGATTTTTATAGACATGACTTCTAAAGAAAATAAGGTAGGCGTCTTTAATAAAAAAAATAAAAATAGATCGCTTGAAATTCCACCCTCAAATCAAAGCAACCTCAAAAAGAAGTCTTTAAAACTCCACAAACAACAAACGAAGTATCGATAACCCGCGAAACCAACAAAACAATATAACAAAAAAAAAAAATAAGCGACACCTAAACCCAAAGACAAAACTCGATAACAATCGATTAAAAACTCGACGTTATATCGATAATCTAGGTTATATCTATTTGTAACGTAGGAAGTTCTATTAAGTGTTTAAATATGTATGAGGTACGTAAATTCGTGTATTTGTCAGTATGTCGTTGTCCTCAGAGCACGATGCCCACGGACGTGGCCGGAGGGTGCGTGAACAAGGCGTTCGAGGGCGCTGACGATGGATTCCACACCATAGACCTCCGGACTGGCCGGCGGGACGACGATAACCAGACTAGAGTCCAGGTAAATTGTTACATTATAAGTTTATTACTGTTTAAGCTTGTGTTTGTATTTTTTATGAGTAGGGCGGCAAACGAGTATGCTGATAGGATAGGATTACCTGATGGTAAGCAATCGGCTCATCCAAAGGACACACGCAACAACAATGTAGTTACGAGTGCGTTGCCGGCCTGTTTAGGATTAGAGTTTCGGACCTACCTATATAACCTCGATCACACGGCGAAATATAACGTTGTTGTAATTTCACGCCGGTTTTCTATGATACCGTGGGTATCACAAATGCTGAGTTTATGACTCTACCGGACTTATTTAACTAACTAGTAAAACAATTGTAATAAGCGGTAAGTAACTGTTTGGTGGACCAATAGACAGTGGTAATGGCAATCGGCTTTAGCCTGTTTTAGGTAAATTGATTTTTAATCACCTCCTGTTTTTATCACCTAAACTTATTCTGCGATTTTTATTAATTAAGTGTACTTTTCAAATTATTTTATTATTATTCTTTGAACTAATTATAACCTGTCCTATGTTTCAATTGAAAAACATTTGTCAACTTCATTTTTCAATACAGACTTTAATATAATTAGTTGGGTAACTTAAGTTTTCAACCGTTGCCGCTCCTATAATATCCAGTTATGAACGTTAAAACTTGTTTCATAAACACCATAAAATGAGGATCTTCTAAGAATATTAAAATTCTCAATGTACTTTAAAACGAGTAGAAAACTAAGTACCTCTCGGCTTCCATTCTCGATTTCCCTCCTAAAGCCATAAATATGGCGCGAATTTCATTATGTTCCAAATTCAAATTAAAGTCACGTCAAGTTCGCACGTGCGCAGTACTACGGCGGAGTACAGATTAAAAACTAGAGTGCTCTCGACTGTTACTCAAGCAGGCTAAATTAATTCGTTAGCCTATACTTCCGTTCGATATTAAAAGAGATGGGTTCAAATCGTCCATGTTAGGTTGGTAAATTTTCAAGACTTTAAGTTGGTATTAAAAGTATCTAGATTGCTTCTGTTCAGTTAAATGCTCATGCATGAATTCTTAATGGATTTGAGGAGTCAAATAATTAAATATCACATAAATTAACAAATCCTGAACCCTTTACACACGCCTACACATAAATAGGTGGCTTAACAACAACAAAAATTTAGAGGAGACTATCATTAAATTTTCTAATACAACTTGTGCAAACTATCAACAGAGCGATTAAATAATTTTGTCATCACACTTCCTGTTATTATCGTCATATCTTGCATATACTACGGTCCCTGTTTATAACCGGTGGTGTGCCGGTGTAGCCCTCAGTTTCCCGCGTGGGGTCGTCCCGCCCGCCCACAGTCGCGTGTCGCTCCGCCACCAAACGAAACTTTTACGAAACGTACGCGTTCCAAGTTTCAATTTGAATACGGAATGGTTTTGAAGTTAGAAGTGTAGGTGCAAGGAGGTTGATTTTGTAATAATGGTAAATTATATTTTCTTTTATTACAATTCTTTTTTTTGTATTTTAGGGATTTAAGAATAGGTAGGTAATATTTTTATCAAGATTTTTTCTACTGGAAATATGATTGCGTTTAGTTCTTTCTTTGATAAATAGAAATAAGTTTAATAATGATATTTCGGACTTAAGTATAAAGTAATTAAGAAATTAATGCAATTCCCATTTCACCATAAGACAATTTTCTTCCCCTCTTAACAGCAACCAAAACAACCTTGAATTTTGATATAAGAAACTATACAAAGAACTTTTTGGAACTATCATCATCAATAAACCATAAAGCCGTAGTTATTAGTATTGCTTTCATGACATGTGAAGATTTCACGCACGCAATAATATTTCCATGGCTATAACCAGTTTACCTACGCATGAACTTGTACCTTTAACCTTGAGGTTTCTTAGCTCTTGTTAAATAACATGAAATTTTTCTATAGTATATTTACTTCACGTAAGTCTATGACATATGATAACATAAAACGTAAGATATTAATATTATATGATTGACAGTTATTATCCAAACATTAGATATTTAGCACAGATATCTACAGGCAAAAATAAATAAAATAGTAAATCTTAGCAAAATTACTATTCACAATGAATTCCAATGTCAGAAAATCTATATTTTTTTATTTGTATCCAATTTTAAAATGAAAAATGAAGTTATTATTATATACGTGAAATCAGCAGCCATAAATCGGAAACTGCAGCTTACACTAAGAACCTGTGGCAGAATGTCTGACATGTTAGCACTATGCACTAGAGACATTTGAATTCAGAACGTATTTTTATGACCTATAACTTTATTGTGTATTTCTTATAAGGTGGTCAAATAGGCCCTTTGTATAAAAATGATAGTTTTTCTTCAGTTTTATTATTAAAAAAACATTAACTATCGCTTTATCTATCAGTTCATCATAAATGGTGCAATTATATCTATATAATCTATCATTTTAACCTGCTTGCAATATGTAGACTTCACAATTATTGTTTTCGACAGGGCCAAACAAAGGAACTTAAGCAGATTCCTACTAAAATAAGTAATGTAATTAACGTGTGCAAAAAAATTAGGAGAAAACAATGTTTATATTTTTTTTACGTTTTTTTGGATTTTTGTATCATCAATTTTGATGTTAAAAAGGTTGTTGCTTTTACATGACCAATTTTAAAAAGACCATTAAGATGTTTATCATGACTTAATGGCTGGTGTAAAGGACTAAAAACATTAATAATTGTAATGTCATACGATCGGACAACTAACCTTATTATTCAAATGGAAAAGCTAAAAGTTTATCTCATAAATATTTAAAAAAAGTCGAGGTGACTAGCCTTCCTTCTTTATTCAAAACAAAAAAAAAATCACGCTTATACCTATTAGTTCTCCATAAAATTCAATATAAAACCTTATCGTCGTCAATCTGAGGTGAATTCTAACCAGCCAGTTAAAAGTAAATCAGCGTCTAGGTACTACTATATCGGTAACCTAGGGTGTTTCGAACTCCCAACCTTGAAAAGCTAACGACCCAATGTGGAAGACTGTGGAGTAATTTTCCTGTCAACCTGACACGAAAATATGTGATATTTTATTGCCTTAATTGTAGTCTCGGATTTGTAAAACGAAATGAACATACATCATGATAAATAGGTCGTCATTACAGACTTAGCAAAAGGCATTCACAATGGTAGAATTGAAAATTATTTATTACTAGCTTTTGCCCGCGACTCCTTTGGCGTGGAATAGTGACTTGCTGATTTTTGGTATAAAAACTATCCTATGTCCTTTCTCGAGTTCCTGTGCCAAATTTCACAGAAATCTGTTCAGTAGTTTAGGGGTAAAGAAAAGTTAGACAGACAGACAGACAGACAGAGTTACTTTCACATTTATTTAGTATAGATTGTTTTAGAATACTCAATTCGTGAGACTGTAAATTTATTGAAAATAACGACTTACACACGAGAATTAAATCCTATTCATCTATTATCTATTCACCACCTAAGAACGCCGAAGGCGTTTAATCCACCATTTTACATTGTGCAAGAAGCATAAAATAAATAAATTAATTAACCGAGAAAAGCTCTACTAATTTCAAGTCACAACGGGTCTCTTATTCATGAACAGCGTGTACATCGCGGCGACGTCGCGCAGCCAACTCACTACTCTGCTGTTGCGACTCGAAACTAGTAGATTTTCTCAGTTAATTTACGTAAATAAGTCGTTATTTTCATCCATTGAATGTCGGTGTACAAGATGCAATATAAAATACATTGTGTCTCAAATAAGAAAGAAAAAACATTTATTTGAGACTCGCACAGAAAATAAATACAAATAAAGTTACATTACATATATACAAAAAGAAAAAATAAACAAATAATAACAAAAAATAATAAAGAAATAAAATAAAAAACCTGTGCGAGGTTAAAAAGGCCACTATCTCAGCATAATATGCTGCGAGAATTCACCAGTAGGTAAAAAAAACCGCAGCCCTGGTTGGCAGATAGTTCAGCACGCATTCACCAACAATTATCACCAGACTTCCGTATTAAGAGTAATACAGGACCAATTGGAGCTTATTCTTCTGTCCAATATTATCAGAAGAGCTCTCTGGTGGGTATTAAGTACTTGAGCACAAAGTACAGGATACAAGCTGTTGTGACATATTGTTGGTGTACAAGCCCATTGTGTTGCCTGTATGGACCCATTTATAGGCCATTCATGGGGTACACGTGACTCGTGAGGGTTCATAAGAGGAGGAGATTTTGACAAATAGATTCCACGTATACCTACTACTATTTTACCTACTTGTTTAATGTTATTCAACGTTTTGTAAGTGCAATGACCAACGCTTTGAGACGTGTAGGTAATCTTGAATAATGAGTTGATATTTTTTCGCTTATTATTGCTTTATTTTTGTAATATATTACCTACCTAAGTAGGTATTACTTTTAATAATCGGATTTGAAGTCGGCACTACTTTTCGTACGCGAATAAAATATAGCTTTCAGGCCACTCAGGACCATTTGAGTTATCTACCAGTGAAAATCTTTTGGAAATCCGATCAGCAGTTCCAAAGATTACCTACACCCCTACGCTTGAACAAATTTGACCTTTTTCTTCGGTCCGTGGCTTCGCCCCCGTGGTATGTTGATAAAAGTAGCCTATGAATGTATTATTTTGGAGTGTAACCTACGTCTGTGCCAAATTTCATCCAGATCCAACCGCTTTGGTGTGATTGAGTAACAAACATCCAAACATCGTTACTTTCGCATTTATAATATAGATAGATTAGTTGCATTTTTATGTAATTGGTCGGCAAACGAGCAGACGGATTACCTGATGGTAAGCAATTAGCGCCGCCCATAGACACCCGTAACGGAGGATTTACGAGTGCGTTGCCGACCTTTTAGGTATAAGGGATTTGGAGATTTAGGGATTGAGGAGGGATTGGGGGCGGGGAAGGATTGGGCCTCCGGTAGTCTCACTCACACGGCGAAACACAACGCTGT